CTAGTATCTTCTTTAGCTCTTTCTCACTTAAACTAACTAAATCTTGCATGTCCTTTACTTCAGTCATTCATTATGTAGCATTACATAGCATTATAATTGATAGTTTTATTTGGCATGTAAATGAACTAGTATAAATGATGAGTACGAAGAGTACATGTACTCTTGTGAGTACTATATAATATAGGAAGGGAAATACTCAGCATACTTATACATTATATAAGACAAACTAATATAACCTGTAAATCTAATTACATATACAAAACATTTTTATAATAGATAGATAAACATAAGCAAAAACTTCACACCTTGCTTTGTCTTAGCAGAATGTTCCTTACATCACTGATGACACCATCTGACCAAACGAATCTCTATTTTCAAGGTAATTCTTAGTAAATTTCTGAATCTCTGATTGAGGCATTCGGTATGCAACAATTGTAGTATAGCTATCATTAACGCGTATTTCCACAAGATTTAAATAAGATAAATAAGGTGAGCAGAAAAAACTTTCAATTGTATTCAGTGCAGCAATACGAACGGAGGACCAACCAGAAAAAACCATAGTCATTGTTTCGGAAATATCATAAGAAGGGTGCGGTATTCCTTCAGTCATTATTGCAAACTCCAAAGTGGTAGTGGTATCTTTAAACATATTAAGTTTAATATCATAATCTTTTAACTGTTCCTTGATAGGTTTTGTGATAGCACTTGTTATTCTCAAAATATTGACGTTCCAATATGAGTAGTGAGGCTCGAGCAACTGTAGAAGTTGATGAGCATTTTCACAATCAGCATCTTCTTCAATAAAAGATCGAAATTTTTGCCTAGCTTCTGTTACCATGGCTTTGCTGGTCAAAGTTTTGGTGGCTGTGTCAAGAAACGCGCTCTTTAATCCACGAAAACAATTTTGCAGCCATTGAAACCTTTCTTTTAAATTATTTTCAATGATGTCTAAGAATGAATTATAATAAAACCTTAAAAAAACCCAACCAACTCTTCTCTCCATAACAGCCATTTCGAGCATTCTTCTAACTGAAGTGCCAGCTTCTGGTATTATTTTTTCTCCTCCGATTGATTTGTATATATGCTCAGAGAGAGCAGTGCATGCTAAACTGTTCAATCCAATGAATCCTTCATTTGCTGGTAGTTGTACAAAAGGATAAGCACCATTTAGTAGCAATGATTTAAACACTCCAATGTGTCCACCTTCACTAGTTAGCATCAGTGCATTCTTGCCATGAGTGTTCTGGTAATTTAGTTTTATTCTAAGTTCTATTAGAAGTAACGATAATCTGTTATACTCTACATTACTTTCGATGCTTGCAATGGACTCTAAAAGTGATTCTTCAAATGTAAAGCTTATATCTTCATCTCTATCAATGATAGTTTGATTATCAACGATTAGTTGAAATATACCAAGAAAATGTAAAAAGTTTAATTTAGCTTGTGATTTCATAATGAGAGATTTGACTGATCTGTTAGAAGAAACCAAAAATTGAATGCAAATTGATCCTCGTAAGAACTTCTTTATGGTAACACATTTTGCTTCTTCATCGAATAAATATTTCAATAGCTTGTGAAGGTGGCCAATAGTTTTATCATTCCATTTTCCGGACAGTTTGAGAATGACTTTAGGATCACCTTTGGTACTTTCCCCAATAACTGCTGCTTCAATAGTTTTATAAATGTCATCAAGTTTTACTGAATCAATAAATTCATTAACTTCATCACTATATTTATCAAACCTATCCTGCAAATCATCATCAATTGGATAATTTTCTATGAGATCATTTATTGTATCAATGTCAATAAAACTATGATGTGGTTGCATTCGCTCAAATATTTCATCAATAGTTACATGATCACGTGCTAAACCAGTTTCATCAAAAGCGGATTGAACCCACCTAGCAATAACAATTGCATCATGTTTTCCACTAGAGGCATAATATGTAATAATGTCAGTGATCAGCTTTGCATATTTCTTGTGTAGGTTTTGAAGTTCAATTGCTAAATTATCGTTAGAGCTAAGTTGCACTACTTTTGGATCAAATTCTGTGAGGGAGAACAATATTTGATGATTCTTAAATATTCTATTTTTCCAGTCTCTTGCTAGTGCAATGGCCTCCTCTTTAGCTGGACCACCAACACTTGCAATACAAGATAAGAATGAGTCACATATTTTTTCTAATTCTGATTCATTACCATGATTAGTGTGAAGAGATATTAATGCAGAAAATTCGATATCAATTTTATTAAATGTCGGCATCTTTCGAACTTCAAGATTTATTAAACCTCTGCTATACAATTTATCAGCTACCTTTTCCAGACAATTCTCTGTAACTTCTTTTAACTTGTAATAATGAGCTCTCATTACACTCTTCACAGTAGTCTTGCAAGCACTTGTACTACTTTCTATGATAAAAATTAAAGTAATAATAATAGAATTTTGCAGCTTCTTTATTAACCTGAGAGGTTATCAAATATTTGATGAGCTAAATTAATTTCATCAGCATTCAACAGTGCAATAGTGATGCTTTTCCATGTTATTGTATCAGGACTGCTATCAAGATAATATTGAGCTACAGCACTCATGTAATCGAAAGGACTAGGTTGAATATCACAGAATTCCTCCACTCTATGTTTAATGCTACTAACAGTATCTTGTGTCATGTTAGGAAGATAACAAACAAACTGTTCCCAAGTACCAGCATTAAACTTTGAGCTACTCAATAACTCAATTAACTCATCTTTTGTTGGCTTGTCTGTGTATAAAACATAATAACCTTTATAGTTTTAATTCAGTTTACCTGTAAGAGTGGGTCCAGGATTGAGTTCCACATCTCCTGATATGAAGAGGAGAATGGCGAGACAAAAAATAGACAAAACAAGCCTAGGGGTCTTGACATTGGGTCTACCTATTCCACTGTTAGATGCCCAGTAAATGCACGGGTAAATGCTACCAGTGCCAGTACAGCTACAGTTCCAAGATCCTATTCTAGCTCT